TGAACCGCTTAGCACCGTTATTTCCCGCACCAGGCTCCGATGGCTCGGCCACGTGTTACGCATGCCAGCCCACCGACTCCCGCGACGTGCGTTGTTTGCTCACCGGGGATGTGGGTGGAAGAAGAGGAGAGGTGGCCAAGCGATGACTTGGTCCAGAGGAATGAAGTCCATCACTTCGGAGCTAGCCTCGGTTGGAGCTTCACGGCTCCCTGGTTGGGGTCCAAAAGACGGTGAACACGTTTGGCTGGATACACTTGCTGACATGGCAAGGAGCCGACCTCAGTGGCGTTCGTGCTGTGAGTTTCTTTGTCCCTCCCCATCCCTTTTAGTCTCCCCCTCCATCTACGATCTCATTTCGTAGGGTAAAACATAATAAATTTTTTTCTTCTTTTTGCCTAGTAGCTGGCTGGAAGCTTACCGGAACGATGCCTATCCGTTGCTGGTAGCTCAGCTGGCATGCAACTGTTGTATCTATTTTTCCTTTGTGTATTGTATTATATGTATGTATGTATGTATTTCCTTCATGTATTGCGGCACAATAGCGGAGGTGTTTTCCCACCTCTAGCTGATGTGCATAATAATAATAATAATAATAATAATAATAATATAATAATAATAATTCTGTCGCTCGCTTGCCCCGTAGTAGACGTAAATATTGGAAACCGTCGAGTGCTCTCGACAGGACGTCTACAATCGGAAAATTGAAGAGGAACAGGAATATAGAGCAGCCCTGTCGCACACCACTATTGACAGCGAAAGAACGAAAGCCTGCCGTATTCCCTCCCTCTGCCTGAGATGTCGTGATAGAGTGCGCGTGAAATGACTGTATACATTTCTGGGACCCGTTCTTTAGCAAACAACCCCAAAGTGCAGGTCGAATTACCGAGCCAAATGCAGCACGATGTCTAGGAATGTAACGATGATAGGCCTCTGGTAAATGTGGTGGTGTTCCAGCATTTGACGGAGCGTGAATATCTGATCCACATACCCACGGCCAGGTCGTAAGCCAGCTTGTTTTTCACAGTAGTTTGATTCACGAATGGGAGATAGTCTACGGAGTAGAATGGAAATCAATAGCTTGGAGGCAATCGAAATAAAACTAATCCCCCGGTGATGGGTGCATGAAGTGCGAGCACCCCTCTTAAAAATCGTGACAATAACTAACTCGCTCCAAGAAGAAGGTACCTTTTCTTCATACCAGATTTTGGAGAACAATGAGGTTAGCTGGCTAATGATAACTGTGCCTTCAAACTTGAACAGCACCGAATGAAGTCCATGTCAGCCGGCAGCCTTGAATCGTCTTAGGTGTTGAATTACCAGACAAACTCCCGCTTCACTTATAGGATCAAGGGTGGCGACCCAGGGCGGGCAGCTGGGTTCACAAAGCATACAACAGGACGATGAGGGCTAATTGAACTGGTAATGTAAATGGTCGGTCCATGAATCAAAGCATCTCCGTAGGTTTGCAATTGGCGAACCAACCGCTTCGCAAATAGTCTAATAGTCAACAGGCTTTCTGTGGACAGTGTATTGAATGAGCTGGAAAAGCTTGCGTGTATTGCCAGAGTGGGCGGCGGCCTCCATTTCCGAAACACGCTGAGAACACCAGCTTTCAAGACCATTGAGTACGCTTCGTTTGAGCTGCCGACTGACAGAACGGCGCACTTCATTAGGATTAGACTCTTCAGGGATATTACTGTGGCAGTCAAATAGATCTAAAGAAAGCGTGGAAATCTAAGCCTTCATGGGGTGTTAAGTAAGATTATAGACAAACTGTCCGGAAGAGATCATGAAGCTCTACATGAACGTCCAGTGTTCATCAATTTCTTACGGAGGGTCAGAGCTGAGTTCATCGACCAGGGTAGCTTGATAGCTCTGCTGAAGCGAAACAGTAGATAGTTTAGTTGTATCCATCTCACAGTGCTTCGCTTTTGTGGACCTTCCGAAACTCAAGCACATGTTCTTTCAAACAAGAGCATGGTCTAAGTCAAGAAATTTGGACCAGATTGATTTGTAATCTTCAACACTACTACGCCATCTAAAACTGTGAGATGAGCAATCTGAGACTAAGACTGGGACGCAGAATGGGGTCGCCAACTAACGGAACGTCTCCTTGAATGACGAAAGTTGGTACTCGACAGAAATATAGGACTATCTACGCACAATATGAGAAGTCACCACATTATCTGAGCGGCTCTCATCGAGCGCATAGTGACCACAGGGATGACTTTTGCATGACAATAAACAACCGACCCATGCATTTAGATTCCCAGCAAAAACAACAATATCGAGTTTGTAAGCTCTGTCCAAGAGCTAGTGAAGTTCACGGTAGAAATCGTCTTTGACCGAGTTGGGACTGCAGTCAGTTGGAGCGTAAGCCGAGACCATTGACAAGTTGCACCTCCACACGAAATCTGTTAATTCCGCGTGATCCCGTACGCCCAACTGCACAGTCGGCTATTAATCGGAAGCCAGTCTAGCAGTGCGGCTTCGGCTTTGCTGTTAAGCGTTACATCAATCCCGCCAAGCGTGTCGCAGTTGATTCTGTCATTGGATAGACGTAAGCGAAATAAGACTCCGCGGTCGATGGGAGATCTCCAGTCAAACACGGTAGTGAAGTCTTGCAAGCGTGTCTTCGAATGACAGCAAACATCGATGGCAAGGGATTCTAAGGTGCGCGCAAGATCAGCTTGCTGCCCAGTCTGCATGAGTGCACGTACATTGAAACATGCCAGGCGGAATGAGGACCGAAGTCGAAGGACCACTGGACGAACTCCGTTGGTGCCGAGGAAACCAACGGGATTGGGAGCATGGAAACAGAAATCAGCTGGTAACGGATAACAGTGATTGGTAACAAGCGAACAGGTGACGTGTGAATAAGGTGCGCAAGTAGCAGAAGCTAAAGCAGCTAAGCACGATACAGCAGAGGAAGAATACATTTTTTCAGTGAGCGTGACACTACCCGGTTGCCCAAACCGAAGTAGGGAGTTGTCTTAGTATACACCATCCCGAGCCTTTGACTACACAGCCTACTGGCAAGGCAGCGGAGCGAATTCAAGGAATCACGCCCAATGGTAGATTACTAAACATGGGCCCAATCCTTTATATGAAATCAGCACAATTACTGAAGTGCAATGTACTACAGTAGTGAAACACTGCCGCCGAACTCTTCGCTGGAACAGGGTACACCCGAACCACCAGACTTCACAATCACTGCATTGGCTTCGTTTGAGCTGCCGAATGACAGCGGCGCATTTCATTATGATTATACTCTGCAGCTATATTACTGCGGCGATCAAATAGATCTAGAGTCTTACGAACGACCGGCGGAAGTTTCGTTGGTCTGATTCGAAACCCGACTAGACATTTTTGGGGATTCCATCAGATATCAGGGAACTACGCGGAAAAGCGGATATGAAATGCAAAAAAGCAACAACGCAATACTTATGGCACACATGAATGTACACTCTCGCGTTACCGGACTCCTAAATAAATACAAAGGAAAAATGCAGTGGCAAATATGGAAAGGTATACATTTCAACAAACCTAAGCCCTACATAACTAAAATGAAATGTCTGCGCCATGTTAGTAGATGTTAAGCTTTTGTTTCTTACTCCCAGCTGTTTTTCCGAACATACCTGCCGTCCGGTTCGAGTCCGCAATCAGTATACCGTGTCCGATGGTGTTTGCAGCGGTGTAGCTTAACATTCATTTAAGTACAACATAAATACCGAATACTGACAGTATAGAGCAAGCAAATATACGGGTTGCCCTGAAGAAAGAGCATCGGGCACACACGGGGAAAACGATGCATTGACACATTAACTTTAAAGGAAGCTGGAACGAAAAGAAAACGATACTACCAGCCGAACATACGTATCACATACGTGCAAATAGGTAGATGGTACTGTCCACAGAAATAAATAGCCGTGCATTTTTGCGTGTTGGTCACTCAAAGAGGCAAAAATAGAAAAACCAGTGTGATATGCCTAAATATGTTACTTAAGTTTTACCTTTTGAAAAAATCATACTTTCAGTCAGTGTGGCACATAGGCTGCCGCGGAGTGACCATTTCCTATGCCCCCTGCTGGCAAGACCGCTTGGAAGGAGGCCGGATAAGCGTCAGTAGTTAGCGCGGATGACTCGAATTTCGGGCTGTCAGAAGTAACCGGCAGTATTTTCTCAGCCGTGGGAAACAACTTCCTGTGGCTTTTCTGCCTGCCCGTAACGAGCTTGTCTCGTACTCTTGCGGCGCGGATTCAAGCCTGCGTAGGGGCAGGGCGACCATTGCAGTATCCTTAGCCCGCGTGTGACCGGTGGCGGTTGCGCGGAAGCGAAGCGTCCGCACTGCCGTACCGGCGTACTCCTGATGCCTAAAGCATTTCTACGAGTACTGAAAGGATGCGAATGTACGCTCACTTCTGCGTACTAAAGATGGTGGTCACTTTGAGCGGCCGTAATTAGCCCCTTTTGCGAATAATCCTACGACCAGGTCTGGCCGTCAAAATAAATCATGTGGTACAGATTTTCGGCGATCAAATATTGTCGTTGCATTCTTAGGTCTTCAGTACTGCGAAATTTACATATTGAAATCAATATGCAAGCATTTTTATCACTATGCACGTTAGCTGGAGGTGGAAAACCCCTCGGCTTTCATGTCGCAATACATTAGAAAAAAGTGCAACAAAGGCACGCCAGCTGAGCCACCGGAAACGGATGGACATCGTTCCGATGAGCTAACAGCCAGCTATTGTGCCACAAAAAGGAGTATCATACTATGCATATGAATTGAGAAAGTGGTTAGAGGGAGGTTAAGCGTGAGTTGGGGGGACACAGGAAAAGGGAAATAATGGCGTACGTTAAGCAAGCACAAAAATTTTTTATGATTATACTTTGTTCAAAACGAGTTAATAGTAGAAGGCCAGGAGCGGGAACTTAAGTCTCCCCGTTAAAAAATGATCGATAATGGGAAACGGAGATAACGACAATATTTATCGTACCTGATTGCTGAAGAAGTATCTAGTTTGAAAAGCGTTATTACGCATGAACATAAAACTCTCCGTTAAGGACCGAGACGCCATAGATATGTGAAGTTTGGTAAACCTGTTCACGCTACGTCCAATTCACTAGGGTTCTGTTAATCAACATATGACAAGGCCAAGGTCACTTCAACCTTCTGAAGGTTGCGTTTTCGTGTCATATCGCATTAACCAATTCAGCGGGAGCCCGCAAAGCAATTCCAGACCGTACCTTAATGTATATTATTGTATGAGCCTGAGAAGAAATTAATCAAAAATCATAGTCCACTTAAAACTTCGGGTTATGTTTCTCTGAAGGACGTAATAAATAGTCAATCTGCTAGTTGAGCACACAAGACGGATAGAGTTGCACTACATTTATACGGCAAATGGTTCCATGTTTGTTCAGCTATGGAAGGTCGGCATCGTTAGACCCCGTTAGCTGGTCGCAATCCGCGAGAACTTGCAAGTAAATAAATTAATAGTAGATAATATAATACCCGTTATAAATAAGCGCCTAATTTAAATTTTAATGACATTTAAAAGTTACTTTGGTTCTTTCATGAATTTTGTACTTAAATTTGGGTTATTATGCAGCAAAATAAAAGAATACCATTTAGTTGGTGCAAGTGAGTAAACGTTGCCTTGCATTGGGTGCACAGCATATAAGCTAAACTTATATTATATCAAGACCTGTCGCTGTAAACAGGTAAGTGTAATTGGTTGCAAACCCGGAAGCGTTTGCTTGCACAGTGATGAGCAGCTGCTGCCTGAGGAAGTTCGGTGTTATAAATGGTACAAAGCAAACGGCATACCCTAGTCACGTTGTTAAGGGCGATAAGTGGGCAATAGTGGAAACTGTTCATAAAACTTTTAGCATAATGAATTGTGATGTGATATAAAGCGTTATGGATAAGAGTGCATGTGTATGCTGTTTGCTTTATTTTTGCCCTGGCCATATTTTTAGACGCAGCGTTGGTAAATTGTTGATGACGGACTGCTGTTCAGATCTTTCGCTGCGGCGAAGTATGACCGTGTGGAAGGTCTGGAGAAAACAATGGGACGTATTCCAATGGAAACGGTGAGTTGTTTTCCGAGTTACATCGGTGTCAACCGCAGCATACTGGCGTGGAAGCGGAATGGACTTACAGGATAGATTTGCTTACGCTTACATCCAGCAGCGTTGTGCGCATCGCAAACGGACAGTAGCTCGTTGCAAACGGTAGGTTTTCATAGTGCGCAAGTACCTTAAGATATGCATGGAGATACAACTCGTGTGATTGCAAGGCACGCTTCTCCGTGCTGTTGAAGGAGGGAAGGTATGTTGTTGGAAGATTTTGCATGGTTCACAATCATGGTTTTCGTCTTGGAAACCTGTGATTACACTCAAATAACCGACCGCTCTCTTCGGGACAAGCGTTGGAGGTTTAATAGTTGATGAAAACTTTCAACATTACTCCGGATTTGCGACGGTTAGTATTCCACTAATATGGTGAGCCAGTCACGCGCATGGATCTTAGTAATTTGCGGAGACTTCATCAGAATAGGACAGCATGCGAGGTACCAGACGTCGCATCAATGTTAGAACGCCATGGAGTTTGTCATTTGGTATCTGACGGGAGGTGCGTCCCAGCGTGAACCGATATAGTGGGTACTTTTGTGTGAGGTAAGTCACCAGTGAACTTATGGTGGATACTTCCCGTGGCACTGCATAGTTGTTGACGTGTGTGGTCTAGGAATATCTTTTACTACGCCCTTTTAGCTGATGAAGCATCGTGTAGCTATAATCTAACGGTAGAAGCGATGCTTCAGATGGTGCCAAGCAGCGTGCACTGCCAAACTCTCGTGATGGGTAAATGTGCCGCGCAGTTGAAGGCCTTAAATTGTTGTTATCCAAACGCAAGGATTGTATTTTGCCGTTAGCATCTAAATTGTGACATGAATCGACATTGCCTTCAGTTACGTGGGATATCTGTTGCTCGAAAAATACCTTGTCGTGCGTCGTTGCGTAACCTCCTATACACTAGTGCTGCGCTCCAGTTTAATAGGTCAATAACCGAGGTCAATTTACGTGATACTGAGTGCTACCGGTATTTGTCCGGAACATGGTTAAACTACGCTGACTGTTGGGTCGCTCCCATTCAGAAGAATTTTATGCTCTTCGGTTGCCATACAAACGAACCGTGTGGAGGATGAAACAAACACCTTGAGGAGTTTTTGTCTAAGAGGTCGTCGTTGCTTACTCTATGCACCTGTAGTTTTGATCGTGTAGCAGTTGTATGCATGCAAAAAGCTAGATCATAGGAAAGCATAACGTATGCGTTGTACATAATCCATCGGAAGTCTCTGCTGTGGCGTTCCTATACAATCAGCTGAGTGCTATTCCAGCGAACGCGTCTATAGCCCATTTTCGCGTACCCTCGGTTCTAATTTGCCAGTCTCGTGGCCCCCTATTGGTTAAGGTCGTGTCCCAGTTCTAAGGTTCGTCGTGTGTACGTCACCCGAGGAAGTGATTATGACTGCGAATTTAACCGTCAGTAACGTCTACCATGTTGTCGCCGTTGTTATGTTGCTCAGTTTCACGTCCATTCAGCGGATGACATCCTGTATGGTAGTCGATGGATTGTTCATCGGCAAACAAACACATCAAGTCTTGACGGTGTGGTAGCGTGTTTTGTCTTTTATTTGCGACATCAAGAGGCGGCGGAGGATGCGCGTGATGTGAACGTGTCTGGAAACTGCGCAAGCCGCAGGTAGTGCTGTCGGACATGCGCTCAGTTACGCAGGCACTGCTTGGAAACGTTTGGCCGCACTTAACGCGTTTAATATGCTGGGATCCTTGATGTCAAGAGAGGGCAGATTCTAGTTTGTTGCCACACAGCCAAGTGGCCTGTACGGCTTCCGATGTACACTGAGGCAAACATAAACATATTACGTGGTTTAGCACCTCTGGAAGTCACAAATGATCATTCAGCCATCGTTGGGTCTACCGTTTGCGAAAGTAACTTTATGCAGCAATTGAAAGTAACTGATGGGACTAATTTACAGCACTTGAGTTCAAAGCAAGCTACCTGCCCCTCTACATCAGCATTTGGGGCTAGGAAACGGTAATCGCTACTGAAATGTCATGTCACGGAGGTGAGTCTCAGTAAAAGTGTTCTTTGTGTATCGGAATTTCGGTAATTACACACCACCACGTCTGCCGATTACCACGTCCTCGCTAAACGCAAGCGCAATACTCAGGTAACCGTTTCGGAAGACGTGTGCGGTAATATTCAGCGGTCGGATTACAACGCAGATCATGGTGAAGCCGGTGATTGGGTTGTGCATGATGTGTGTTCCCTTAAGTATCAAGTAACCTGTGTTTGCTACGACAGTGACCCGGAGTTTCTCTGTTATTTTCCTCCTAGTGCTTGTGGAATTTGTGTCCGGAACTCTTTAGTAAGTAAGACTATTGCCATGCTTCTCTCTTATGCAGTTTCTTTACATTTTGTCCGAATGGTTCCGCGGTCGGTGACGGTTTCTGTTGGTGCAATTCCGCATTCCCGATGCGTGATGGCTGCAACGTTGTGAACCCTGATGGACATTTTGTACAGTTTCATTTCGTGAGTTTGCATTATGCAGTCTAGTTATCATTTCCAAACTAACTTCTGCTTTTTCGTGTGAATAAATGTTTTTCTTTGTACTGAGGTCCACTTCAACGTCGGTCATGGGTTTTGTTCGTGCTGGTATGCTAGGTAGACAATAGGTGGGGGTACAAGCGCCAATGGAAGTGACTGTTCATCTGGGGTGGAGAAGTTCTCCGAGACAACGGCGATATTCCACGGCGAACCGGTTCAATGCTTAAGCAAGGAGTGTAGGGAAGATCCCGAAGTTCCGATATAGAAGTTGATGCGTGGCTCCGTACGTTCTGTATCAAAAGATGTTCAGATTTCGTTAGAAGTAAGCGGCCGGGAGATTGTATTCCAGGACCGTACGGATATACGAACGGAACAGCATTCTAATGGTCGCCGTAGTTTATAGGTCGATGTTCGCAAAACCGTGAGCATTCGGCTGCCTGCCGCGACCTTCTTCTGCGGGCAAGTGGTGTCTTGAGATCCTGCCACACGACGACTCCCATGTCCTTCTCATGTGTGGCAGACTTGGGGAGATGACATCCAATACGATACGCATTGAAAGGATACAGGCCACGAATGGCGGGAACAGCACATTTTTCACCGTTCACCAGGAGTGATCCACCTCGCCTTATGTATAAGAAAAGCATCATGCGCGGTTAAGGTTGACCAGCGAAGCATCGTTCGTATTTAGATTGCCTAATCCGTTTGCTTAGGGAGCATAAATTTCGTGACCCTTCATACTTTAGGTAACGCTTGTCTACTTGGGTTTTCTTGAATACGTCCCAGAATTTACGTCGTCTGCTCAGTGAGGACCAGAATTCCAGTTCGTTGCGGGGGTCCTTTGTAGAATCCTCTGCCTATTTACATTGGGACGGCTTTTTCTGTGATGGACGTCATCCTGGTCAGCTGTACAGTCCATGCTTCCCCGACACTCAGCGGCTGTGGGATACTGCAACTATAGACACTGCTCAAATTCCACAACAATTTACCCTGGTGTGTTCCAGTGTAGTGCAGATGGGATGCCGCTCTATATCGTATGAACCCCTTCGCCCACAAGTATTTGGGACCTTGTGCAGCAATCGACGGGAGGTGAGGCCTCTGTTGTACTCGAGGAACAAAGAGGTTGCACCTCTGGTGCATGCGTGCCGCTTCAATGTCATCTGCGCATAGCGAAAATGAGCTCTATACTTGGTCGTCCTATACCAAACCATGCCTGCTCTTCCATAACCCTGGAATCCCGTTCCAGCGACACCACATTCAGCGAGCCACTTAGGGGCAACGCCAAACCACGCGGAATATTCCGGTGAATCTAAACTTTCTACATTATTCATAAGTGTTGATGTCTTGCAGCAGATTAAGGCACATTTATTAGCAACACTTATACCTCGCATAATCAGGGGCAAAAGTAAACATCGAAAATGGTTTAAGAATAGCGTGCTGGATGGCGCGTTGTCCGCATGATTAATTTACCTTATTTCTCACCGGAAGGAAGAGTACTGACGGCTGACCGGACTGAGAAGTCGGCGCAGGGTATAGAAACAATTGAG